CTGATCGCAGGGTTAACTTTTTATGCATTTCTTCGAATTAATTGAACACTAATCAGGCTTTGATGATACGGGGCTCACATGTCCTGCCGTGCATCTCTTGGGGGCTTGCGGTGCTCGCAGGGGTTCCGCAGCAGGCCCGGCTCCCAGGCGATGTCCCTCTTCCGTCCCTGACTCGATCTCCTTGCGACGTCTCGGCTCTCGCGGGGTTCCCTCTCCAGCGGCCTTGCGTACCAGGGGTCCTTTTTCAAACTCCGCACTTTCTCGGCGTCCCGCGTGTCGGCGTCCTTCCCCCGTGCCGCGAGCTGCTTTTTCTCGGCTTCCCTCGACGCCACCCTGCCAACGAATGTCCCCTCCTGCAGCAGTTCATCCTCCCCCCTCTCCTCAATTCCACGAAGTCGACGTCACCACCATCCCGAAACCCCCGGTCCGCAAATGGGTCCGTCCCGTCTGCCAGAGTGTCTGGACCCGCACCTGCAAGCCGTTACGGGACCGAGGAGAAGCTGGACATCCGACACCTAACTCGGGCGGCGCTCCGGCGGTGCTAGTGGGACTTGTCGCTCGGTGGGGCGGGGAGAAGGCAAGCAGGAATGCCGTGGTCGAAGCCTCCAGAACAGAGCCAGCACCAGAGTTCAGCTTGTTAGTGAGTCTGGAACTGCACCTGCAAGCCGTTATCGGCTGCGAGAAGCAACGGGACGTTCGACACCCGTTGGGCAGCACTCGGTCGCTGGTGGTGTGACCCCTCCGCAACTCGACGAGGTGGGCGAGGCCAGCCGGAATGCCGTGCTCGGAAGTCTCCCAAATAAAGTCAGGACGAGACAAAACATCACAGTTTTAAAATTCCTTTTCGAGACTTTTTTAACAAGATATTGGTATGTTCCATGTGATACTGCTCTTTTGAACACATATAGACCAAAAAATGAGCGCCGAAATTTCGTTGTAGTATCCCTTTAAATCGACCACAAAATTCGGTTTTTAACCTATCACGCTACGACTTTGTGCAGCGTTGCCCACAGATGGTGCATTTTTTTTTGGTAAAATTTGCAAAGAGCGAACTTACCTGAGGAAAAAGTAAAGAAAGAAAGAAGGCTTAGCTCCTATGGAAACACAGTGAAGCCACCGGTCTTCAAACAACACGGCGCCGTTTCGCACGGGAGACAAGAGATGGCGCAAGCGGTCGCGACGCCAACTGCCGCCAACGAACGAGCATACGACGCTGAGACCCGGCATCTTTAGCAGACAAGGAACTGCACTGCCTTGTTGTTACCGCGCCTGTTTTTGTTTCTGCGACTGTCGCCGCCTGCGGAACGCGCGCCGCTTTTGAGTCGAAAAGATTGTCTGCTAAAAATGCCGGCTCTCGGCGCCGTATGCTCGTTCGTTGGTGGCGTTCGTTGCGCCATCTCTTGTCTCCCGTGCGAAACGGCGCCGTGTTGTTTGAAGACCGGTGGCGTCGCTGCATTTCCATAGGAGCTAAGCCTTTTACTTTTTTTCTTTTTTCCTCAGGTAAGTGCGCTCTTTGCAAATTTTACAAAAAATGCACCATCTGTGGGCAACGCTGCACAAAGTCGTAGAGTGATCGGTTAAGAAACCGAATTTTACGGTCGATTTAAAGAGCCTGGCGTCTCCTTGAATCACCCTGTATAATTTAGCCACGTGCCCTATTTGATTGCCCATCATCACCAGTCAAAACATTTCTATTCAACTGTTTAGAAAGAAAAAAAAGACAGTATAATAAAGTGGAAGAAAAACTGCAGTGCTAATGTTTCCGTAAAACAACATGCATCCTTTTGATATTTTAAAGAGTGGTTACCTCGATGGCTGAGCACAGTCGTCGACTGCGATAAGAGGTATGTGAATACTCGAATTCTAGTACGTGAATACTCGAATTCGAGTATGTGAATACTCGAATTTTCAAATAGTAGTTTCGAATAACACGCTATTCGATATTCGCTTCAAGGTGAACTGTAAATTTTCGTAGTTTCCGAGGTATTCGCCGCAGGTTAGCCCCGCTGAGCGCGCTTCTTGACCGAGCACAGGAGCACTGCAAAGAAGCAACACCCGCGGAGCTCTTTTCCACGGGTATTTCTTCGCAGAGCTCCGGTGCTCGGTGATAAGCCCACTCGACGTCGTTACCCCGCCACGGCCAACACTTCAACAAATACAAACATCGCAGCCTCGCGGGCGCCTGGTGCATTTATAAAGAAACGAGAATGTTGTGAATGTTAATTGATATCTACATTGCAGTAAAGTATTTAAAAAGTAAATTGTGACTAATATGCGCCAGTATATGTTAAGCAGAGATGCTCTTGACAATCTGTGCTAATCATTCGTGATCGTATTACTTTTAAATTCTAGATTGAAGGAAAGATATGTGCATATAGCAAGAATATGTATAAATCCCCTCGATTAGGTTTATCTGCTGGAACTTCGATATGTTTAATTTTATGTCAAACCCGTCGTCTACTTGCATCCCGATGAAGGCATTGGACTTTCCGAGGCTAGAGCTTCGAAATATAGGTAGAATAAAATTAACTTGGCCTAGAAATGAACAAGTGGAAGATTGCAAACAACCTTCACGAGTTTAGCTGGGTTTCCTTTTAAGCATGGTGCAAAACTGAAGGGCTTAGGGAATTTATACGGTATTCAAAAATATTTGTTCAAAACCGCTATTCGCTTCGAACTTGGACTCCACCATTCGAGCATGTAAAAGGGCAATGTCCCCCTCTCTCATGCCCCTCCACGCCTTCCCTCCATCACCACCTCCCCGTTTTTGCTCTTGAGCAGAATGCTGGTGTAAATTAATCACTCTACATACTTACACTTCTCTAAGCAATAAGTGTCTATTACAGGGTGTACATAATTTACGTTATGTTCTGACAGTGAAACAAGTTCGCTAGACTCAATCTCGCTATCAAAGAAGTGGATACTAATAAGCAAAGATAACAACGATCGTAATCCAACCTATTGATATTTGTTCGCCTGGGGGTGAAAAACGGAATATGTTCTCAACAAATTAAATGTTAACATGAAACGTTCTTTGGTTATGTGTTCGCCCAGATAAAAGCGTTTCCGCGAGGCTTAAGCTAGACTGATTGGTTTTGCGTGGGGGGAAAAGGGGGGGGGGGGAGGGGGGGGGAGGCAATCGCAGTAAAAAAAAAGCGTTTGCGCCAGGCGGGAATAATCGAACCTAGACCATTTAGATTATTTCGCGGTGTCTTTCCAGCATGTCACGACAACTCTTTTTTTTTCTTTGTTGCATGTTACGACACAGCGCCGTGAGTTGAGGCGCTATTTGGCGGGAAACGCCGGCGGGGCATCCGCTCTGCGTCCGTCAGATAGCAACTTGACACCCGGTCACACGTCCTAACGGGAAACGTTCTTGGGCTAGGTATTCGGCATTCGGTGAAGTCTAGATAAAAGCGAGGCTCGACACCGATTGGTTGACGGGTGGGAGAGGAGGAGTGAGGTGCTCGACGCTGATTGGTTAACGGGAAGGTCATGTGACCAGAGGTGTAGGCGAGGAGGAGCGCGACCACCTGTGCGCAGTGATGTAGAGGAGCTAGAGGGTATGGAAGATCGCCAGCTTTATCATCCCGACTAGCGGTATATAGTATCGCTTCATTTTCGGAACAACTATCAAGTGTGCACATGCCACGCGTTAAATTACTCGATGAAGAGCGCCGTGAACGTAGGCCTCTGGCGTCGCTAAACGTTTGTGGCAAGAGCGTTTCACGTATCCAACGCAAGTGCCTGAAAATTTGCCATAAACTTTTTGTTTTAGATTTTTGTTACAATAATCGATGAAGATCGGCAAAAATTGCTACTGGTTCACTCGTATACGCGTAGGAACTGAGGGAGAGAAGGAGGCGAGAGGGTGGGGGGACATTAGAACCTACGGAAGGAATGTTAAGTCCCCGTTCGAAAGCGAATGCCGGACGCCGGCGTTCGGCGTTCGAACGCGTTCGAACAGTGAGCACAGACAAAGGCTAAGCTTTGCGTCTACCCGCATTATCATTTCAACCAGAGCCGGGTGCTCCGATGTCGCCCCACGCTCTCGCCTCCTCCTCTTCCTCAGGTTGTATCCGTTATGCGGCGGAACAAAGTTTGAATTTGTACAGAAGTGAATATCGAACGAAACGTGCCAAACCAGCCATAGCAAAAAAAAAAAAAAAAAAAAAAAAGTTAAAAATTATATATTTTTGGAAGCGTCACTTTGTGAGGTTAACTCACGATAAGCACTTCTATAGGCGTACGTCGTGCAGAAAATAACAAAGACCTACACGAGACTTCATCGGGAAACAACAAGAATATAATTCGGTATTCACAACATGACAGAATCTCTGGGTAGAATAAAAAAATGTCTTGCAGTGTTGGGTTTTTTTAATGTCGAAAATTCCCTATCACGCCTCTCTCTTGTCGTATTTTGTGTTACTCCGTTGTACGTGCTTACCTTTACTGCGGCCTGCCGAATCACCGCGATCTCACTATAGGCGGTTGCTTGTCGGGTTTTTTCGGTACTCTACACCCAACACCGGAAGAATATTGCGAGGTGTCCGGACTCCGCATCCCGTCTCGTGAAAACATCTCCGGCGACGTCACCGACGCATCGCCGAGTCCTGGCAAGTGAAGACGTCGGTTGCCCTTCCCCTCCCCGTTCCATACCACCTCAATAACCAGGTGCAAACCGAACCAGCAAGCATCGCTTACCAGAACGGACAGGCCGCGGCCACCGAACAGCGTCTTCGTAACCTCAGCCGTAAGTTGGCGTCACGTTCATTGTCCTCCCTCTAGACGGAAACACCCTGGTCGTGTGTCGCTACGCGATATGGCTGGAAGAAGTTAGCCTTGAAACGTAAGCGCTCTCTAAACAGCGCCTCCCGACTCGAACAGAATGCGTGAGTCTGTGCTCCGCGTGTTTCAGATGCGAGTGATCGCGACTCGTAGCGAGCTGCTTTCGGCCTTGTCGTCCGTGCTTGACTCTGTGTGTTCTCTAGGCTCATCTCGAAGGACGACGCTTGCCCTCCTTGCTAGATCACGGGAGTGACGAAAAGCTACTCAAGGACAAGGAGGGTTCGCGAGGTGAGCCGATTCGCTACGCTTTCTATATAAACTTTATGCGGGTTTGTTTATACAACCGCGCCCGTTTTAGTACGCAGAGAAACGTCCGAACGCTAGGAACCTCCTACAGCCTGTTTTGTTCTTAAGGATTCGATGAAATTCAAAATGTTAACAAGTCTGTTTTTCTTCCTTGTGTCCGCGTGCGCGTTTTGAAGTGTCCTTCGGAATGGCAAAGCAGGCTCTCCGATCACGTTTCGTTCTCGATACTAATCTCATTGTAAGTGAACATGACCTATAACGAACGTCACTCACTCTCATTGTGCTGATGAAGTTACTAGCAGGTCTAGATAAGCGCAGTACTGTAAAATGGATGTTACTGCCGAGCTCAAAAACCCCTACAAATATGGTATTTAATAAAAAGAAAGAAAAAGAAACTCCTTTCGCGAACAAATCGCCAGTCACGGCGGACGTCAGGGATACCAGAAGACACGCTAATTAGCAAATTAATTACCTAAAGTTTATTAATTAACTTATTTCAATACGTGAAAATTAACATGTGGTTCCTGTCGGAAACAGGCTGAGCGTCATCCGAAACCCCGAAAGCAGTCAGTTTTAGGACTTGAAGCACGGGGGTGCGCTAAAGTTCGCCCTCGTGCAGCAGGCGCGAAGCCTCGTTTTCGCATCGCCAGCCTTTCGCTGTGTTGCACGCACTTTATTGCACCCCCGCGCTTTCCACGCGCTTCAAGTCCTAAAACTGACCGCTTAAAGGGGCGGTGAAACGATATTCAATAGGAATATTTTTCACTTTACACGAGCTTACTGGCACTATAGTGCCAGTAAGCTCGTGTAAAGTGAAAATGGCGTTGCGTGCGAGTATCCTTGAGTCCCACTATAGTGGGACTCAAGGATACTCGCACGCAACGCCATTGACAAGAAACTTCTTTGTTGCGCTGTAATTTCGAGGACAAAACCGAGTGTTTTCATTCAATCTCTCCTTCGCAAAACCTGATGACGTAGCTCGGCGGTAGCAGTACCGCCCAGTGACGATATTTGAATGCGGCTCATAGATTGGACCCGAGCATTGCGTCGGCACTCGATTTGGGCTCGTGATAATCGCTAGCTCGAGAAGCATTCGGGTGGTGTCCTGTGTCCAATCGCTGCAATGACGGCAACAGTCGAACCATAACAATGTCTAGAACTCAGCGCGTGTCCTGCCAACCTTAGCGCATGGCTATGATCAACATTGGCGCCATATAATCGGCTGCCGATCACGTGGCCGCTTGTTCTGGCTGCGAGTTGAGGGGGTGAACTCTGCTCGGTTTTTCTTAATTTTTTCTGCGACTTCGATTGCGTGTGGTAAAAACCAACGGGTATTTCACAGGTGATTAACGTCAGGGATCCGTCCTAAGCGGTATTTGCGCAAAATACAAAAATCGTTGCATCGCCCCTTTAAGGGGTTTTCCATGATGCGTATACCAAGTTTCCAATTAAAACCATACGTTTATTTTAACTAATAAATAATTTAACCGTAAAATTTTAGGTAATTAATTTGTCAATCAGTGCGTTTTTGCTACCCCCGATGTCCGCCGTGACCTGCAATCGATTCTCGAAAAGAGTTTTTTTTTTTTTTTTTTCTATTACCTTTTTTGTAGAGAATTTGGAAAGTCTTTGCAGTTTGTAGCTGCGGTGTCGCAACTCAGAAACCTACGAGACTGCCGCACGCACGATCACCGATCGATATATGTATGCGTGTGCTCGGCGGAAACTGGTACAGCGTGTTCCTGTTTGATAAGTACTTGAACACTCACTCGACGGATGCAGTCTGCAACGTTTAAAACACGAAGAAGCGAGCCCTAATGGTGTATACAGCTAGCTCACCGTACGTAGTCCGCGCCTTTCAAAATTAGCTTCTTCTGATTTCGCAGTCTTCAAAACTCATCAATCAAAAAATGATAATAATAATAATAATTTTAAAATTTAGTTTAACGCAGAACCTCGTTTTTTTTTTTGTTTGTTTTTTCTATTTTTTTACTTTTTCTGTGAAGGGCGAACGTCGATTTTAAAGAACTACGTGCCTATAGTAACCAACACTGTTGGAGCGTCGCGTCGCGTCGAGCTTTTGGTACGAACTATACCAACGCCCCTTATCTAAAAGTATCGCTTCCTTGCTCAGTAGAATTTCTACATTTGCATGTTTCAGCGAGAAAAGAGGGTGAAGGGTGAGTTCACCCCACATCTGAAGCGCTGCGACCTCGAAGAAGCCAACAAACGGCGCGTATACCGCGTGGCATCTGTCGCTCGACCACCAACTCGTTGTCACACCAAGAAAAAAAAAAAAAATTTTGCGCATTACTTAAGCGTTGCGCGAAATAGTTCTCACGAGATTTGGTTGTCAAAGTAAGAAACGATGCCTTTTAACCTTTGACACGTGTACTTCTCGTGAAGATAAAACAAAACTGACCTGAAATGCACCGATATGTACATTAATTTGTAACATAAAGAAAGTACGCTTCCGTGAAAAACGTACTTTCTCTTTTTATTTTTTTTTTACTACCGTTTTTTAGGTGAGCACGAATATAGACTGCTTGTGTTTCAATTCCTGTTGACTGCGCTGTAAAAGAGAGTATAATTTAGGGCGCCCCGTCACGGTCCGTGCTGGTATCACATTCCTTCGCTGTCTCTGGATTCTAGCATTCGCCGACGTGCAGCCATTCTCTCGTGGACCAGATGTCATGACCCATTCCGAAGTCTTCCTCGACCCGATCCAGCCTCCCCAGCTGCCCCGGGAAACTGTTGCAATGTAGAATAGCGATGGACTACAACGTGCAAGTCGCCATCATTGTGAGCTGCGTTCTTCTGCTCCTGGCGATCCTCGTGGGCACGTTGTGTTACTTCTGCCGGCGCACTTCAGTCGGAGTGCCCTTGGTCGAAGTCTCCAGCAGCATCTTGGAGGTCTTAACGAGTATAACCCAGTGAGAAGCCATTCTTCCCGGTAGGACCAAGGCAGCATTTCTTCTCGTATCTGGGGCCCTAATCGGGACATTTGGCGAAAAAGTCGGCGAGAAATCTGGCGGGCCATGATTGGCCGGCGCCAAGGTCAATTGCGGCGTTGGCCAATCACGGCCGACAGATTTCTTTCCGACTTCTTCGCCGAGTGTCCAGATTGGGGCCCCCTTCCTAGCCTGCCGCCATCTTTGTTCATCGTGAGAAACCGATTTTCCTCGCGAACTGTCCTATCACAGCAGTCCCCAAAGACCAAACAAATGAAAACAAAAATATGTGTCATCATGGTGTTTGTCATCTTTCTGTAGATGTTCTATCACCGCTGAACCAATCATAAACAGGAAAGGCCTAATGAGTTGCGCTTTGAATGCTGTTTGATTGGTCCGGGGTGCCGGAGGGGTCTAAATGCATATGTATATCAAAGGGGAGCTCAAGCGGTTCTGTATTTGAGTAAAATCACTTTATTCGTCTTCATTTGGCCTCGAGGATCACGAATATCGAGATTGTTTTTAAATTCGGTGCACGGAGGCTGCAGATAATTATTTTCAAGGTACGGCGGAAGCCCCTTCTTGCCGAAACGTGACATCGTAATAGGAGATTTCGTAATGTCTGCTCTCGCGCATCTTCAGCGCCTATCAAAGCTTTCCGGGCACACTAATGATAAAAAAAAAAAAAAAAATCAGAAAAAGACGTCACATTTGGTGTCAGTGCGAAGGAATAAAATTGCGGTGGCTGAGCTCGGCCATGCCAGGATATACGTATAGCTTATGCGCACAAAATGAAAGGCGCTATCAAGCGGCTCCGGTGCAGCGTCAGACTTGGCTACTGCGCAACGGAGGCGCACAGCTGGGCACGCGGCAGCGCCAGTGCGTCTGCTGCGGCTATGACGTCACTCTTCTGGAATGCGCAGACCGTCGAGGCGCGCGCGGCGGCGGCTCCGGCGCGCCGGCTGTGCGCCGTGAGACGTCACTGCTCCTCGCGCATGCGCAGCACGGCTCATTATGCGAGCCACGCGAAACTGCTCAACCTCGGCCAGTGTAGCGCACGCTACAATACCTGTAAAGCTTGCAGTCGCACGCGCTGCCCACACGAGCGTCACGAGCTTGGCAGCCGAAAGATCCCGTCAAACTCTTGACACGATGTAACGACTGGTCGGAGGTTTTTCGTGTTTTCTCGCGTTTTATTACACATTCGGGCAAAACGAAAGTGATATTCAGATTCACGGGACAAAAATACTCTAAATACCACCTCTCACTCATGCTTTTTTTTTTTTTTTTTTTTTTTTATTCAGCTTCCATTAAGAGGTATATGGTTTCGTGTTTTCAGTCAATACCGATGAACCCCGATAAATAACCCCCGAAGTGGTTTTCTCGGAGTTTCTTTTTTTCTTTTTTCTTTTTTGCAAAAAAAGATTTTTTTTTTTTTTTTTTTTTTAACTTGAGGTTTGAAAACATTTTGAACTGTCCTTGAGGTTGCTATTTCCTTTGGGAACCACGTCCCTTGTCCCGTCTCCTTGTGTTCTCGATACCGGGATGACGTTTTCAAGCATTTGGCTCACAGGCGTAAGTGCCATGGACTCTAGAAGAAAAGAAGACACCGCGGGGTCATTTAAGGTCACGCATTTATAGATATACAGCCGTTTTAAAACATGAACCCTAATACCCCCCCCCCCCCCCCCCCCCCCTCCCCGTTTCGGGGCACTTAAAATAAACAGCGAAAAACACGAATTTTAAGAGAAATAAACCCGGAAAACACAATAATATATATATATATTTTTTTTTTCTTGGGGGGGGGGGGGGGGGGGGGGGGAGGGGGGGGGAGGGTCTCAAGCCCCAAAGGCTCCCATAACGATGTGCACAGGACTGGTGTCCGAAGAGCCTTGCTAAGAGGGTGAGGGAGTCCTATTTTTTTTTTTTTTTTTTCAAATGGGGGCAACAATTCTGGGGCGTAGCACTCGAATCCCAAATGAGGGTGCAACTATGGCGGCTATATAGTGCAACTGCACCGCCCATGCACCGAAAGCCCTTTCATGTTCCAAAAGTAGCACAAGGGGCGTCGATGCACGTCCAACGTGCAGCCCTTGGGAAGATTATGGCGGCACAGCGCACCACTCAGCTAGATTTCAGACGCTATGTTCTTCCCAGAAGTGGCGCGCGGCACGTGTCTCGAGCACTTCCAAAACAATGGATGGCGCCACTTTTCCCAGGATAGAGGGGCTTTACGTGCAATTCGCTCCGGGCGCCATCTTAAGCAGACAATTAGCTTTCCCGATGCGATCAAGGTTGCTATGTTCTTGACGCTCTAATGACCGTCTAGAACTCGAACCTTCGCTTTCCTATTCGTTTCTATCCCATTTTCATTACACGTACGGGGCCTACAGTTGTCAAAGGCATTTTCGCCACTAGGTGGTCGCCGTGATCAGGGAGAGCACGCTCCATGGCAGGTGTATCTGAATCCAGACTCCCCTATAAAAATGATTTCTGGCTTTTTATTGAAAACCTGTTGACTTCTTGTTGACTCTGACTTTCTTTTGACTTTCACTTTCTGTTGACATGGCACTACTGCGTGGTGCACGTTAAAGACCCCAGGCTAGCGGTTGTACTGCACTGGCTAAATTGCTCATCTACAGCGTGTGACTCGTCGCAAATTTAATGGCTGACCAACTACACGCTGTATAAATATCCCCATAACCCAATTTTTTTTCAACAGAAAGTTTGTTAACTTACTGTTGAAACTTTTCTGATAATTTTCTTCAGCCTGATTCAAAAGATAAGCTGTTGACTTTCTATAACTTTTTGTTGATTTTTTTTTTTTCTGTTGAATTTCTGTTGATATGGTCAGCAGAAAGTTTGTTGATTTTCAGTTGCAAACTTTTCTGATAAGTTTTATTAGCCTGTGTCAAAAGAAAAACCGTTGACTTTTTATTAAGTTTATGTTGATTTTTTTTCTGATGACAGTGTCATCAGAATGACTGCAAACGTTTTGTATACTTCGATTTGAAAAATTTCAATTGACTCTCTGTAGCCAGTGTCAATAGGAAAGCTACAGGCTTTCTGTTGACTTTTTATTGAACATTGTAAACCCCGACTAGATGTCAAAAGTTGGTAAGTTTCTCAATGACAAGCTGAGAACGGGAAGCAGCTTCAGTTGTCCCGCCTCCTGCACGAGCCTACTACACTTGACAACGCTTCGGCGTTCGTGCACCTCGAGCTTGCGCGTGCAGTGAAAGCACGACGGAAGACATAAAGCGCGTGCTGGAGTCCAGGCGTGCGAAAGGCATGCCCTACCGTTCTGACGTTGAAAGTGACTTTAATGACCACATGAAATAGTTAACCAGTAAAGAAAATCAGAATAACTATTTGAAATAACTATTTGAAAGTGAAGAAACTGCCTTTACTCGCTTCGTCCCGAGTCGTGATATGCAGAGAAGCGATAATACTTCTCCCAGGAGCAGTTTTTTTATGTGGTTTAGCATCTGCGCCGTATTATTATTAGTTGTATACCAATGAATTTTAGTAAGAGATATCGTCCACGAACTTAGAAACACTGTTTTCCCTTTGACAGAATCCCGAGTAGAAGATCAAATACTTGAAACCTTAATAAGTGCTGAGGTGATCACCGGCCAAATGATTACCTTCAATATGTATGCTATATAAGGCTCTGGAGCAGTTAATTTGAGTGTGATTCAGGTGTTCAGTGCTTCATGGTGTTTGTGTTCGTTTCTAATATGTAGTTGTGTGATACGTGTGCCTTAAATACCACAGTATTTACTAACATTTACTAATTTAGAAACATACTAACAAAATATGTAAAAAATCGCGTTTTTGTACGTTACTTTGCTGCAGCCAATTTGGAGGAAAGTGGAAAGCCACGCTTTCGAAACTTTGTTGAATGAATAGCTATGCTGTAAAGCATTTTTTTTTCCTTTTAATCCTTTTTCAATTGGAAAGCTGCAGAAGAAGCATCTGGGAGGCTACAGAAAGTCTGTTGACTGTCCTATTACAAAGTGCGCCAATATTCAAAAGAAGTCAACTGAAACGCTAGAGAAAGTCAGATGAAAAACTGCTGACATTTTATATCCTCTGATAATTTTTTTTTTTCAACAGCCTTTCAACAGATAAGCATCACAGTTTCTTGTAAGGGCTGGCTCTTTGGACGCTTTCTGTACAACGGGCGGCGGGATTGGCATGGCGTTCTGGCTTTCGAGCTAAAGCTACAATTTGCATAGTGCGTATTCAAGCTGGGACAAAATCGTTGAGTGGTTCAGAATTGTGAGTTTACATTCCATTCCTTATGCGTTCGTCAAACATAGCGAAAGGCGCAGTAATTTGGTTATTTGGTGGTTAAATAACATTCTCTAAAGAACTTACTGAGATCAGACTATTGAGGCTACTGAGGCCTAAAGCCCCTGCATGGTGCATAAGAATAAAGCGATTCATTCTTCATAATTTTTCTCCTCACCGGCACTTTTGCTCAAAAATGACGTCGTGCACCCATGGTGAGATGCTGGTGAGAGCGAAGCGCGCCAGACAATCACGGCGTCACGTGAGAGCACGTCGTTTTGTTAGGCTGGGGTTCCTTTTCCGCCTAAAAAAACTGTCCAAACAGGACGCTTTCTGGAGTTCACAGCATTTGCTGCACCGGAAGTGGAGGTTTTCCTCCGGTTCCAAATTGCTTTAAAGACGAGGAGAACAGCCGCACGTTTTTCATGGTTGACGTCCTCACTGAAAACGTATCGTACGCGCCGCAACGTTCACGTTCTTTTTGTTGTTGTTTTTATTTGCAGTGCACGAACATTTGTTGTGTGGGCTGTCCACACATATCACGCTTTCTGCTGTGCACAGCATTTGCTGGATGGAAGCGGAGGTTCTGCCTCCGCTTCTGGCGCTATAGCGTCGTTGGGCAGAGCCTTGGAGCATGCTCATGACGCAGGACGTGGCTATTCACATGTACACTCTGCTGGCTGTCGTCAAGGCTTCCGCTGTTATTGTCAGTCCCCAATTTCCCGAAAGCAAAAAAAGGGGAGGGGACGACAGCGAGGAGGTAAGAAGGAAAACCGTACCAAATACTTTACTGGGACCGTGCTGTTTTCGTGGTTGAAGCCCTCATTGAAAACATACGCGCACTCCACGCTTATCAATAGCGTTCAGACTGTTTTTGCCTTGCACAGCAGAAAGCGTTTCCCCTGTCACGTTCAAAACCCATTCCGTACGTTCAGTGCATGTGGGTGGAGGGAGTGGAGCCCGGACTCGCCAACTGTTAATTATTTCTTTGTTTTATATTTCATTGAGCTAGGTGGCTACATGGATGCAGTGGCGACAATAACGTTAGCGCTTGTCGTAACATTATTTCTGTTATACCGTCCTTCCAGGTAGCCATTTCACATCACCCGTCACAGCTTCGCGCCATGCAGATGCTCTGGGCCTGGTCCCTGATTGTGTCGATAGCCACCGTGGTCGCGTTCATTCTCTTCTGCTACGTCTGCTGGACTGTTTGCGGGAACGGGAAGACGCACCAGAGCCCCGAAAAGCAGTGTGACAAGAACTTCATCAAGCATGGTTTCAGGAGCCTTCCAGGGGGCTGGACATCGGACGCTGAAAGTGGTTGAAGTGTTGGTAACAGAGGTGCGTCGAACACAGACCTTGGGAACCACCTTGGAAGGTAACGTTTCGACAGTGGACGATAGTGTGTTGGAGTTTAGTAACAGCAACAGTTGCGGAGATTTTCGCAGTCGCGCGATTGTGAAAACTCCCGGTTTGCAACGAATAAAGATCACAGTGCACTCTACCACTCGGAGTTTCAACTTGCCTTCCTAGCCAGTGATCAGAATGGGAGCAGCGAAAATAGCGAGCGTATTTTATGTATCTACTGTTTAGAATTCTCTTCTGCAGTGCTATGTCGATCTTCGCAAAGGTCTTGCATGAAACATCTATTACGTAAATCGTCGTTGTACGGAGTATTTACGTTATTTGTATGTATACGAGAAACTAACGTCTGGCTTGACGCTAGACAAAAAAAAACAAAAAAAAAAAAAAAAAAAATCCGTCCAAAGGGAATATGTTCACGTCTGTCCGTGCCTCTCCTGATTTCCCCTCTTGGACCACACGGAGGCAAGGCTTGTGTTTTAAGCCGGGGTCACACTGCTCATACCATCGTATACAAAAGACAGTCTACAAACACGAGTCACCGCAATATCCGTGGTTCGAATGCCGCGTGCCGAGTTTCTCTTTGAACTCATTGCCATGCGGCATTCGAAGCACAGATCCTGTTTTTTCTGTTTGTCTTAAATGTTCATCTTTCGTTATCGTAAACTCGCGGTGACTCGCGTTCGAATTTGTAAGCAGACTGTCTTTTAAACTTCGGCTTTACGCGTTCCCCGCAAAAAAAAAAAAAAAAGCAACTAAACACCGTTACTTGTTGCTTAATCATAAAATAGCTGAACATTTTTCATCTTTGCAAAGGTGCGAGGTCGCTACTACGTTACCAGAAGGGTAAGGAGCACTTACACGTATATGCGTCGCCAAGGGCAGATGCAGGAATTTCCTAAGGGGGGGTCAGGCGTTGGTCAGCGTACCACATGTTTAGAAACCCCCTCCCCCTCTCCCATGTTTCACGCCCTAAATTTCACACATGCAAAAACCAAGAGGGGGTCAAGACATCCGGACCCCCCCCCCCCCCCCCCCCCTCTCTAAATCTGCCCCTGTGCATCTCATATACGGTTTCATTCGGGCCCTGGGTTCTCGACCGAAGCAGGTCTTCGGCTGTCTCTCGTCGATGCTGACTAGAAAGTGTCCGTCGGAGACCCTTTTTGAGAAGTTCCCGGAAGGTCATCGTCGTTTCGTGGCTTTTATACCAGTGCCGCGCCATTCCTTCAAGGGAAAAACAGACTTTCTGCAGGTACTGCTCTAGCGTCCATCCATTATGACGAGCCACTCCTTCACACCGTTGGATCCAGTCGTCGACGCCTTTGCAGATATCGCCGCCGAATGGAGCAGATGTCCGAGGGGCAACGGGCAGGTAGGTAGACAATGGGGGCACCGGCAGGGGCCTGCAGCGGTTGGTGGCTCATCGTCGGTTTCGTCGAAGGGTGGGGCTTCTCCGACAGTAGACTGAATTCCGGGGGCAAACCTTGAACACGGCAGCTTCCTCGGGCCTCGTTCGTTTCCATGAAGGGTCTTCGTCAGTTGGGGTGTGGACTTGCGCTGCGAGGCGTCGGAGGGGTATGCTTCGTGGGCTGCGTTACCCCACACCTCCATGAAAAATGTCACGAATGAATAGAGCAGAAGAGGCGAAAGTCCCGTTTCAAACTTGTGCCGAACAAAATAGAGGACGAGTGTCGAGACAGCACAAAAGCGAGCGGCGTAAGAGCAAGCGAGAGCGAGACTGACTCGACAAGGTCACGTGCAGCTCCTTATCTAGTGTGAGTCAGCATCTCGATAATTCGGCCCAGATTCCAGAAGGTTCGAGTGTCGAGCGTTCAGGGTGAGAATGAACAGGAACTTTCGAGAACAAGAAAGTGGGACGTAATGATAGAAGTTACGTCCCGAGTAAAGCCTGGTTCAGACAGTTGCGTTTGACTGCGTTTGACTGCGTTGCGGCAGCGAGAAACCAGGACATCCCTGCTACTTATATCGCGTGCCAAGATGATTTCTTGGATTGGATTCCATGCTTCATACGAAGCACAGATGTGCCGGTGACTAGCTTTCCGCACTCGACGCAACGCAGTCAAACGCACTCAAACGCAAGTGTCTGAACCGGCCTTAAGGATAAACAAGAATCTTCTAGAAGCCCGTGACCAAGCGTTGCTTGATCGGCCCCGCGCGGAGCAATATCCGGTATGGGCGACGAGAAAATAATAAAACATTTCAACCTGCAAATAGTAAAAGATTAGAGAGGAGACAAAACGATAATGGGCGACGGTTACGCTTATACCCTAAATGTATTGTATTGGCGTGGTGACGGCACGCTATGTCAAAGCATGGAGTGGCTCTGTTAGTTCGCTTCTATGCCGATTAAAAACGGTTTATTTATTAAAGAAACACGTATGACGTTTTCTGTGAGTGATCTAGGAATAACAGCGCCTCGAAGTTGCTCTTTCTAGCTGTGCACGCGCGCACAGTTGTGTCGCAAAGCGCCGCACACTTCTTTTAGCCACATTGAGCTTGCCTATACCGACTCTTCTACTCAAGTGTGACTCGACAGTTGCTGACGCTTAACTCCTTTCGCATCGAATACGTGGCAAAGAAGTTCATCACATCGCGACTGCTCGAAAGAAAAGCAGTCATTTTCATAAATTCTTAAATTGTCGGAAATGGCGCGGCAAATTCAGGCAAATGATTAATTTGCTCTATCAAAATTTTTACCAAGAACAGTTTACAAATTTAAAACTAGGGATGCCGCGAACTTTTTTCGAACCGAAGTTTCGACTATCGATTCAAGCGGTTCGAAAGATTTCGAATTTCCGAACTTTCTATATTGTAAAATTCGACGGAAGTCGAATATGTTCAACTAAGTTCGACGCGTTTCGAACCGTCGAACTTATGACGCTAAAAAATTCGATCCTTTTCGAACTTATTACGCTGCAAAATTCGATGCTTGTCGAATTTTCGAACTTGATATACCAAAAAATTCGATGACTTAAGCACTTTCGAACTTCTTGCACTAAAAAATTCGAAGCTTTTCGAACTTTCGATTTTCTACGCTAAGGAATTCGATAATTTTCGAACTTATTTATCAAGAAAAATCGAAGTTTCGAATCCTGACATGTCAAAAGTTCGATTAACTTCGAACTTTTAGGGTAAACCGGCGGACGGTTTCATTTGAATTCAAATGGTGAGGTACATTCGTAATTCTTTTTTTCTCGAATTTTTACACGCGGTGCTGCGTTCCTTACGAAAGACAATGCCGTTTATTTCACTGTTCTAGCAGGCTTAGTTTTAAAGAAATAAATTACCGAAGGGGCGAGGAAGGACGACAGTTTTTTACGATTGTCGTTTGTGCCATATTTGAAGCGCGCTATAGCCGAAGCTATTTATGGTAGAGATGTTAAACTTTTTAAGAATGATCTATGTATAGCCTAAGTAAGAGTGGTCTTAAGATGTGATTATTGTTATTTAAGATAAGTTTCGAAGAAATGTCCAAACATGTATCTACGGGTAATTATGCACTAAATTTGGTATTTTGTTTTGGTCTAAGTTGTTTGAGGTATTGGATTTAAATTAACACTACAGACAGTACATATCATTGCCATCTGCAGAATACAAAATGTATTGTTTTTTCACGTTCAGGAATAAATTAACTCATGGGAGAAGATATATAATATTCTTCAAGTTCAGCACGTCATTAAAAAATAAACATTTGTTTTTTCGCTTCACGTTCTTGGGACGTGTTTCTTTTAGCCTGCACACATTTCGGTAGGAGAAACTTGTTTCGAAGTTCTGAGCTTCTGAATATGCAGGAATACAACACTTCCGGCGAATTCTTGATAGTTTTTTTTTTTCTCCAGCTTTTTATCCCCGCATTTACTGTTATGTTTATTTTTTTTTTTATTTTTTTTTTTTTTTTATTAATGGCAAAGTTATTCAGGTCGAAAAGACAGCTGTGAACTTCCGAACCACTAAACATGTGACAAGTAGTGCCTTCTGACAACGAGTTTTCAAGAATGACCATCTACTCGATCTTTTATGCAGTGAAGAGCGACAGTAGCTGTCGTATATGCATAAATAATTTATAACTTATATGCATATAAACAAATAAAAATAACTTATATGCATAAATAATTTCAGATTAAAATAACCTCAACCACGCCCTCTTTCCCCGTATTGTTTTCTTTAACAGACCGGAATATCTGGAAGGGGGAAAAGGGGCTGCAGCCCCCCTTCCTTCCCCCCCCCCCCCCCCTCCCGTTTTTCTTCTTCCGACGCCACTTGTATGGTAGAACGCTCCTCGACCTCGAGTTGTGTCGGCTTCTGTGCTTTTTGCGAGGCGTTTCCTCCGTCCCGGAAAATAAACCTCCAGGACAATTACAAACTTAATTTACTATATGTCAGCGTCACTCGGGCGGTGTTCGATCGGATTACTACCAGCGTGCAAGGGGTAGGGAGGTAGTTTGCCACGTCGCTTCAAGGTTTTTCTGAGCTTCAACCTCCTGCCCGCCCCTAGATTTTTGAACTGGATGAGTATCGTAAAACAGTGCGTTTGTGTGATCACTATTGTGTGATGCACGCTAAACCCCCCCCCCCCCCCCCCCCCCCCCCCCCGCGGGGCTGGCGGTCGCAATTACTGATCTATTGTCACACGTCACTCTGCATCTGCACTAGCAAATATTCCAGCACATCCGGGACACTCGTCGTCTCATTTAATTGCCTGGCCGAACTTCGCGGAGTCTAAATATCACACCCTAGCTTTTCTAAACCTGATTTCATGAAAAACAGTGAGTCGTGAAAACATTATTTGAAACTGAAACTGTGGAGGAACATGAACACCGGACTTCGAACTTTGAAAACTTGGACCTAAAAGAAATTCGAAATCTTCGAGAATTTTTTTTTTCTTTTTTTAGTTTAGCGTTAAAAGAGAATCGAAACCTTTGAAATTTTAGAACTTTATGCAGAAAGAAGGTCGAAATATTCGAATTTTCGAACTTTATATTTATACAAATGCAAAGCGTCAGAATATTTCGAATTTTATATCCAAAAAAATTCGAAAATCTTCGAAATTTTCGATTTTCAGATTCGCGGAAATTCGAAATTTTCGAATATCTCGAATTTCAAGGTAGGAAAGTTCCAAAA